TGTTGATTTGGGGAGCCATGTCATCTGCTGGTGTTGGTCCACTGTGCTTCATTAAGTCCAGGGTCAACGCAGCCGTCTACCAGGAGATTTTGGAGCACTTCATGCTTCCTTCCACTGACTAGCTTTATGGGGATGCGGACTTCATTTTACAGCAGGACTTGGCACCTGCCCACACTGCCAAAAGCACCAAAACCTGGTTCAGTGACCGTGGGATTACTGTGCTTGATTGGCCAGCAAACTCGCCTGACCTGAACCCCATAGAGAATCTATGGGGCATTGCCAAGAGAAAGATGAGACCGAACAATGCAGAAGACCTGAAGGCCGCTATTGAAGCATCCTGGTCTTCCATAACACCTCAGCAGTGCCACAGGCTGATAGCTTCCATGCCACGCCACACTGAGGCAGTAATTGCTGCAAAAGGGACCCAAACCAAGTACTGAGTACATATGCATGCTTATACTTTTCAGAGGTCCGATATTGTTCTATGTACAATCCTTGTTTTATTGATTACATGTAATATTCTAATTTTCTGAGATTGTGGATTTGGGGTTTTCATGAGCTGTAAGCTATAATCATCACAATTATGGCAAATCACGGCTTGAACTATCTTGCTTTGCATGTAATGAGTCTATCTCGTATATTATTTTCACCTTTTAAGGTGCATTACTGAAATAAATGAACTTTTGCAAGATATTCTAATTTCACCTGTACATTTCTGACCATTTTAACTGGTTGTCAGTGAGATTTCTATATTGTTAGCACCGGATAACTGATACAGGCGAGTTTAATTATAAATTACAGGAGCATCACAAACTTGGAATGCAATTATTTCTTACAATTTTGAGAAGGTGCCAATATTTTGTCCAGTCCATTTTAGGGGTTTTGCAAGGAATGAGTCAGATTTGGTGTTTTTTTTTCTCCACTTTTTTGTGTTATACCAATACAAACGAAAGAAATAAACGTGAGATTTTTCAATTTATATTGCCCAACGCCCAGGACATGTAGTGCTGGGCAGGGAGGTTTTTTGTAACCTTTAGCCCTGCTGCGGGTAAGCAGCAGGGCTCATCTGTCAGGTGGAAGCATTCGGGCGGCTGCACTGCCACCTGATTGCTTCCACACAGCCCACTATGGTGCCAGCCTCCGCCCCACTGTCTCCTAGGCTCTGCGTGCCCATCTGTAGGTCCTGGACCAGTTTAGTGGGTGTCGGCGGGTATAGGGGAGGGAGGAGAGCAGACACATCTGCTCCTCTCGTCCTGACCTGAAATTGATGTGACGTCACTTCTGGGTCGCAGTTGCCAGATTTACCAGCCATCGAGGCCAGGAAAGAATGTAATGCAGTGCGATGTGCACTGCATTACATTCAGTGTAGTACTGGGGAGACATGAAGGGTCTTTTAGACCCTGGATGTCTCAATAAAGAGAACCTGTCAAACAATCATCACATAGGGGACTCTTTGTCCCCCTATGTTTTGGGAAAAAAAAATATATATATTTTTAAAAAAATGTAAGTTACACCCAAGCATATAACCCCTGTCAAAAATGTGAGGACCCCCATATATGTACACACGTACAAATGTAAAAGAACACATTGGGGCGCTTATGCATGAAAACAATGATTGCGATACACGTTTCATATCGCTGTGCATGAGAGCAATAATTGTAGCACCAGACCTCCTCTGTAACACTAAACTGATGACCTATAAGAAGCTTTAAAAGAGTCACCAATAGAAAATATAGGGTACTAAAGTTTGTTGCCATTTCACGAGCGTACACACATCTATTTACTTGATGCAACCTCATCTTTTATATTTTATAATAAATTGGATCATTTATTGCTTTCTGTGCCCTAAAATTAACGTAAGTGTATTTTGTACTGAAATTTCTGCGTTTCCTCGACCTTTGTGATAATATCGTGTGACATAAAATATTTGAACTACCATTATTTTATTCTCTAGGGTCTCTCTGATTTCAGAAAATATATGTTTGGGGGTTTTGTGTAATCTCCAGGCCTTAAATTATTTTTTAAACGTGCAAAAAATGCAAAAACAGCTCTGGCAGCAAAAGGGATAAAGGATAAGCCCGTCACTCCCTTTTCCCGTTGAGCACCCAATTGGTGCTCATTACACTGCAAGGTGTCTCTCCTCCATGCTAGTCCCTGAGTGAGGTACTGGAGACAAGCAGGGAGGCGAGGAGGAGATAAACTTTTAATGTTTTTAACATTGCACGGTTAAAGTCGCCATAAAGCCCCTTTTGTTTTTAAAAGCCCCAGACATTCCTTAAAGCACCTCCAATTTAAATATGGTTTTGGTTCAAAATATATTTGTGTCGGGACAAGTAGATTGTCATGAGGGACAAGTAGATTGGGGCACCGATTCAGTCCATGGACAAGTAGTTTTTAAAAAAATTTCCACACCCCTGGGAGACAATATTTTTGACCATGACTGCAAGTATTTACCCTCGTTGAAGTTGAACAACATTTTGTAGAGCTATAATCCAAAATTCAAAGAGTTTAATTGGGAATGTAAGTCACTTATCTAAAGAAAATAGCCAATAATGTTGAACAAAAAAAACTATTTACTAATAAACTGAAAATTGTGCTCCCATGGCATTTAGGTTGCACATGTATATATAGTGCATATAGAATATTACTATATAAACGTCCTATTTGGAAAATATAAAGTGTACATTTTTTTTTAAAGAGTGATGTTTCCTGTCTTTACACATCAAGGGCCTTTACTGAGTATAAAGTTCCCAGAAGAGTTTTTTAAAGGGTGACTCCACTTTCATTAAAAAACTATAGCCAAAAAAAAAAAAAAAATGAATAAAGTATATACTGTAAACAACTATGACACAAGCCATTTTGTAATTGAATGTTATTATAAATTACCTTTCCTTTTCAAATCTGCAGTGCTGTAATTTTCAGCAAAATGCATTGCACTATGACTACCGAGAGGTGTTCTGTACACAGATGGTGTTCAGAACACCACCAACATCATTTCCTGCTTGTGTGATTGGCTCACTGATTTTCCCAGATATCTACTCTCAGATACAAGTCAGATTTCAGGCACCCCCTGCAACAAAAAGTCATTTTTGGTGAGGTACTTCCAATAGGAAATCATGTCTAAAGGAATACCCTGCAATTTTCAGAGCACTGCAGGTGCAGCAGCTGACTGATTATTATAAAACCACTCCCATTGCACATGGACACAAACAAACAGCTCTTTCTTCAGAATAACAAAAGTAGGACTCTTATTTTCACAACAACTGTTGTATTAGTGACTTATTCCTTGCTGAGACCTCCATGTCTGGCCTATATAGGCAGATACAATCACTGCGGACAGTCTTTATCAGATAGCTGAACTCACCGAATACCCTTTCTCATCCAAGAAGATCTTATACTTAATGCAGCTTGATTACACCAGACAACAGGATGTAACAGATAAATGAAGGGACGGTATTTGCAGGTCAAAACACGGTAATGCGTTCCCCCATGCAAGCAGACTAACATGTGCCTGTGCGACATGCAACCATCTTTATCCCATAAGCATTACAAGAAGAAGAAAATGAAGGGAAATGAATCACAAAAATGGAAGGGAACACAGAAAAAGATGGTGCCATAATCAAAATTACCACAAGGTGGTGGCAGTATAACCAACTATACTAAGGTTAATAAACAATGGCTTAAAGAAAATGAACTATAAATTGTCAATTCAAAGCAATATGAATAACCTTGACTATGCTTTGTGTTATAATCTCATAAAACAAGTGTAAAGCACAACTCTGCAACAAAGTATGTTAACATCCTTGCATTGTACTAGATCACCCAGAGGGGAAGGTTTTTATCTGAACAAAAGTGGAGTTACTCTAGCGCATATCCCCCCCCCCCTTTTCTTTATCCTTCCTGTCAGCCACTGGCTTCACCTCTCTGACACATCTCTCCGCCCCCTCCTTTTTTTTTTTTCTCTCTCTCTCTCTCCCTCTTCCCCCCCCTTTCTTATTTACATCTCTTCTCTTTTCTGGGGTCCCCTGATCAAATTAGTCAAGTAATGGCAGGACAGCATTGGCCACAGTGAAAATAGTTGAACTTGGTATTGCCCTATGGCAGTTGATGTCTCCGCTAGTTGGAAAATGGAAATTGCAGTTTCCGGGATCGGGGGGCCTATAGGCCATCGCAAGTTTATAGGATCTTCTGTAATGATCTCAATGACCATAGTTGTCCATGTTTCTTTAACTTTAAGAGATTTGATTTATCATAAGAATGACATATTCCTTACTCTGTTATTTTGACCACTAGCTGTATGGCAAATATCCTTGATGTATACCTTACTTATACATTGCAGTACTTTACCTGTATTTGCTGTTATATTCCAATAAAATTTCTTTGGATAAAAAAAAAAATTTGAGTTACTCTTTTATTTGCACTTCTCTTTTCTGGATGAGGAGAGAAGTGAATAAAATATGTGGTGAAGAATAGCCGCAATGTGTAGTGTAAATGGAATTTTAGCCCAGGATCTTGCAAGATCAGGGGCTCAAATACTTCTCAATGAAAAACAAAAACACAAACGTTGACAAAATAAGCGCTAAAAAATAAGGTTGCATTTAATAAAAAAACCTATGTGAGAGGGGCCACTCATAAATAATTGTGTTTTCCCTTATAACACACATATATACATATACACCTCTGGCTCCTTTTCACATTGTGGCCATTTCCTCTTCTCTCCCTGCTATTGCCACTTCTGAGGTGAAGAAAGAGGAAGAGGGATAAATTACACAGTCAGTGAGATGCTTACATTCCATCTTATTATACCAGCCATTTGTACTGACTTTACTGTCAGCTTCTCACTGAGCTGCAATGAGAAGCGGATAATATCATCTCTACTCCTCATCGCAGCTTATTAAACCTCTGTGAAGAGGAGCCACAATAGCCACTGTTGCAGCTTACCTCAGTTTCCAAATGTACACATAATATTTCTAATTCACAAAATAGTGAGATATGCTTACCATTTTCTTTGCGTAAGCGAGTAATGAACTTCTTTGGAGGGATCACTCCGACCTTCTTTTTCTGAGTGGCTATGCTGTGGAAAAGGTCTGCTAAGCATGTGAGAAGATTCTCTTTTTTTCTCGGTTGGCTTTTGTAGGCGAGGACTTTTTCCCGGAATGGGCGGCAGAAATAAAAAGTGCTTGAAGAACTGAATTGCAGTAGCAGGTGTTCCCAAACTGAGTGTGCAGAAAACAAACAGTTATATATGGCCAAAGCCAACATTTACACAAAGAAAATGGTCATTCTCCCCATCTCAAAACTGTGCAGGAATTTTAAATAAAAAAAATTATTGGAAAAAGCACAGAATTTGATTGGTTGTGGATGGCACTTTCACTTTAAGCTAGCCATAGAGGGATTGAATCCCGGCCAGTTCATGTCCCCATTCTGTTTCCTCCAGAGGCTGCCTGGTTGCCCAACTCCACCCCCACAGCGGCAGTGATCTCTTGGGATCAGAGAATTCTGCTACAAGCTGCAGGAGTACCTGTGATTGTGTAGGAATGCACATGAATGGTATGCGAAGGTGCAAATTTGAGTGAGGTGCCATTTCTTGTGTGCGGTTTTCATTCTATCATACTACACTTAGTATAGCGCCCCCTTGGTGTCTCTCTGATCACAACAGGAAACATCAGGACCACTACCAGGGTATCCTAATTGACAGCACTCCAGGCATCTGTCCCAGGGGTGAAAGCCATCTGAGAACTATGATAAGCTCCTTTGATTTTACCAAATGTGAGTGGTTGCCTTTTACCAATAAATGTCATATTACCTACTACACTTAGGGTGTACTCTCTGCTCTGTTTGGTTCAGTACAACCAGCCTGCCCATAGATGGAATGAAATTAGTTCAGTTCCTGCTGAACTGGCCAAACTTCGGTCTGTCTATGGCTGGGTTTAGGCTCTACTGGAAATGTCTATGCAGAGATCTGTTTTTGTTTGGATATGAAATGGTCTATTTGTGTTGGTTACTGTCAAAAACAACTAAAATAAATCTATTGTAATTCAATGTTCTATGCTCACTGCATATAAAGCCTCATCTTTTTGCGTAGTAGTGTCTTGCCAATTCTCTAATCTCATTGCAACAACATCAGAAGGTCTGTGACTGAAAACAAAATTTCCAACATGTCTATTTACATAAAACATCCACAATTCTGTTAATCAGAGTTCATGTGATCCTTTGCCTAAGGCTTAGGTCATATAGGGTAGCTAGAGAACCTTTTTGTTATTATTTGTGAGAACCAAAAGAGACAAAAAAGGACATTGTGCAGGGGCGACACGAATGAATAAAAGATATGGCATTTGTATAATATTTACAATATACTGGAAATACATTTTCTAGGTGATTCCACCCTATTCTTCATTCACAGTATGACTTGCAGAAAAAAAAATTACTGATAAATTACACAAAAACTGGAATAAATCCAAGTCAGCATTTAACCCTTTTGGGTTGTATAGTGTTCAGTTCTGCTTTTTTTCAACATTTTCTATGGGACACTATACTATAAAATACTCCCACAAATGCGGGCCATTGATTGCAAACAAGATTTGTTAATTTGCACACACTAAAAAGTATTTTTTTTCTAACAAATTCATTCAAGATCATGTTGCAAAAATGAATACACCCCAAAAAAAGTCTTAGGAGCAATGCTAAATTTTAGACAACAAAATTCTAATCAACATGAATTCAACAGCTAAGTCTAATTATTGATTAAACAGGTATCCAGCAGACAGCCGATTATAAAAGGGTGTTACGTAAAGAAAACCCCTTCCCATTTCATGCTGTCAGCAATGGCACCACATGGAAGAGAAATGTCACAAGGCCTGAGGAAGAAAATAATTTTTTTACACAAGCAAGATGAAGGCTACAAGAAGATCAGCAAAGCTTTCCTTATGATTCAGAATACTGTAGCAAAAGTGATACAGAAATTTAACAAGGATGGAACTGCAACCATCCCACAGAGACGTCCAGGCTGTCCATGGAGGTTAACACCTCGAATGGTGCGTCTTCTGATGAGATGGGTTGAAGAAAATCACCATGCAAGTTCACTGCAGTTAGCTAAAGAAGTAGAAAGCCAAACTGGGGCGATTGTTTCCCGTGACACAATATGGTGTGCACTGCAGAGGAATGGCATGCATGGGTATCATTCACAAAGGAAGTCTCTATTAAAGCCAATGCACAAAAAAAAAAAAACCGTCTACTGCAATTCTGTACTCCGAAGTGATGAGACCAAGCTAAATCTTTTTGGAACGGATGGCTTCAAAACTGTATGGCGTCGCAAAGGTGAGGAGTACAAAGAATAATGCATGGTGCCTACAGTTAAAACATGGTGGTGGCAGTGTCCTTCTGTGGGGCTGCATGAGTGCTGCTGGTGTCCGGGAACTGCATTTCATTGATGGTATCATGAATTCACAGATGTACAGCTCTATTTTGAAATAGAAGATGCTACCATCACTCCGTTCCCTTCTCGTCGTGCACTTTTCCAACATGACACCATGATCCAAAACACACAACTAAGGCCACTGTTGCATTTTTGAAGAAAAACAGTGATTCAGTGGCCAACTATGTCTCCTGATCTGAACCCAATCGAACACCTATGGGGAATTCTGAAGAGACAAGTTGAGCATCACTCTCCAGCCAGCATCCAGGCTCTAATAGAGATTGTTCTTGAAGAATGGAAAAAGATGTTGCAATATATGGCCAACTTGTTAATTCCATGCCTAGAAGACTTGGTGCTGTCCTTATAAATCATGGAGGTCATACAAAAAACTAGATGTAGTAGTTTTTGTTGTGGGATGTATCCATTTTTGCAACAACCAATTGGAGTAAAACTGAAGATTATTTAATCTAAGTTATATTATTTATCTTACTTTCATGTAATGAGCTAAACAAATCTATAAAAAAAACTGTGTTGAGATATTCATTAAAATCTTACTTTTCAAAAAGGGGTGTATTTATTTATTATTATACAGTATTTATATAGCGCCAAGAGGTTTGCTTAGCACTGTACATTATAGTGGGGGACAGAACATGAGACAATAGAACAAAACAATACACGAGGGGTTCGAAGGCCCTGCTCTTTCAAGCTTACAATCTAGGAGGGAGGGGATAGTGGTACAGGAGGAAGTGGCTGTGGGGGATGGAGTGGTAGGAGGAGTGGAGGAGATCGGCTGTTAAGTGAGGGTGGGGTAGGCTTCCCTGAAGAGATGGGTTTTCAGGGTGCACCTAAAGGTGAGGAGGGTAGGTGACAGTCTGATGGATTGGGGAAGTGAGTTCCAGAGGATGGGAGAAGTCCTGGAGAAGTCCTGCAGTCAGGGGTGGGAGGAGGAGACCAGGGAGCTAGAAAGTAGGAGGTCTTGTGAGGAGCGAAGAGTACGGGTTGGGTGGTATTTGGGTATCAGGTCGGTGAGGTAGTTTGGGGCAATGTTATGGATAGCTTTGTATGTCAGTGTTAGTATTTTGAATTTAATGCGTTGAGCAATCGGAAGCCCAATGGAGGGAATGACAGAGGGGGGTGGCAGAAGCGGAACGGTTGGATGAGTCTGGCCGCTGAGTTCAGGATAGACTGAAGCAGGGATAGCCTGTGTTGGGGTAGGCCGGTGAGAAGGGAGTTGCAGTACTCCAGACATGAGATAATAAGGGAGTGAATGAGTTGTTTAGTAGTGTCTGGGGTTAGGAAAGTACAAATTTTGGAGATGTTGCGGAGGTGGAATCTGCCAACGATTGGACATGGGGTTGGAAGGACAGGTTTGAGTCTAGAGTGACACCTAGGACTTTGGCATGCAGGGTGGGACTGATGGTGGCGTTGTTGGTCGTGATGGAGAGGATGGGAGGGGGGGCACGGGCTGGGGGGAAAAAAAATTAGGAGCTCGGTTTTGGAAAGGTTCAATTTGAGGATTTATGATGGGCACTATATATATAGCAGCACTCATGCAGCCTCTCAAAAGGATACTGTCACCACCATGTTTCACTGTAGGCACCATGCATTTTTCATTGTACTCCTCACTTTTGTGACGCCATAGTTTTGAAGCCATCAGTTGCAAAAATATTTATCTTAGTCTCATGACTCCAGAGTACAAAGTCCTAGTAATCGTTTTATTTTTCAGCATGGGCCCTGGCAAATTCTAGGTGGGCTTTTTTGCACGTGGACTTTAGGAGAGGCTTCCTTCGTGGATGACACCCTTGCATGCCATTCCTCTGCAGTGTATGCCGTACATTCTGACTGATAAATAAATATTTGCTGATCTTCTTGTAGCCTTTACCTCTCTTGTGTAAAGAAATTATTTTCTCTTTCTCAGGTCTTGTGACATTTTTCTTCTATGTGGTGCCATTGCTGACAGCATGAAATGAGAAAGGGTTTTCTTTAAGTAACACCCTTTTATAATCAACTGTCTGCTGAACACCTGTTTAATGAATAATTAGACTTCCCTGTAGTTGAATACATGTTAATTAGGATTTTGTCTAAAATTTAGCTTCAAGACGTTTGCAGGCCATAGACGGGTCAAACACCGGCCGATTTTTTTTTAAAAAAAAAAAAAAACGAAAAATGGTACCACCAACGGTAAAAAAAGAAAAAAAAAAAATTAGCCGGCAAAATCAAAGTTCACTGCATAATTTCTGTCCCTTGCAGGTCACAGCTCATGCGCAGATTTTTTTAATCGGTAAAACGATCGGCCGATTTGCCCATCATTGCCAGGAAAATCGGCCGCGAATTTGCCAACATGACCGATAAAAAAAATGTGCAAAAAACCTGAAAAACAGCTGACCAATTAACCAACTAACAGTGCGAAAATCGTCCAATTTTTGACCCGTCTATGGCCAGCATTTCATTGGGGTGTATTCATTTTTGCAACATGGTCTTGAATTAATTTGTTAGCAAAAAATTAAAAATACATTTTGTGTGGGCAAATTAACAAATCTTGTTTGCAATCAATGTCAACATTTGTGGGAGTATTTTGTAGTATAGTGTCCTATAGAAAATGTTGATTCTGAAAGGAAAGGAAATGTTTTCTGACATCTGTTGGGGTGTACTCATTTATGCTGAACAATATACAGTATCTCATAGAAGTGAGCACACCCCTCACATTTTTGTAAATATTTTATTATATCTTTTCATGTGACAACACTGAAGAAATGACACTTTGCTACAATGTAAAGTAATCAGTGTACAGCTTGTATAACAGTTTAAATTTGCTGTCCCCTCAAAATAACTCAACACACAGCCATTAATGTCTAAAAACGCTGGCAACAAACGTGAGTACACCCCTAAGTGAAAATGACCAAATTGGGCCCAAAGTGTCAATATTTTGTGTGGCCACCGTTATTTCCAGCACTGCTTTAACCCTCTAAGGCATGGAGTTCACCAGAGCTTCACAGGTTGCCACTGGAGTCCTCTTCCACTCCTCCATTATGACATTACAGAGATGGTGGATGTTAGAGACCTTGTGCTCCTCCACCTTCCGTTTGAGGATGCCCTCAATAGGGTTTAGGTCTGGAGATATGCTTGGCCAGTCCATCACCTTTACCCTCAGCTTCTATAGCAAGGCAGTAGTCGTCTTGGAGGTGTGTTTGGGGTAGTTATGTTGGAATACTGCCCCGAGGGCCAGTCTCTGAAGGGAGGCGATCAAGCTCTGCTTCAGTATGTCACAGTACATGTTGGCATTCATGGTTCCCTCAATGAACTGTAGTTCCCCAGTGCTGGCAGCACTCATGCAGCCCCAGCCACCATGCTTGACTATAGGCAAGACACACTTGTCTTTGTTCTCCTCACCTGGTTCCAGCCACACACGCTTGACACCATCTGAACCAAATAAGTTTATCTTGGTCTCATCAGACCACAGGACATGGTTTCAGTAATCCATGTCCTTAGTCTGCTTCTCTTCAGCAAACTGTTTGTGGGCTTTCTTGTGCATCATCTTTAGAAGAGGCTTCCTTCTGGGACGACAGCCATGCAGACCAATTTGATACAGTGTGAGGCGTATGGTCAAAGCACTGACAGGCTGACCCCCACCCCTTCAACCTCTGCAGCAATGCGGGCAGCACTCAAACGTCTACTTCCCAAAGACAACCTCTGGATATGACGTGCACTCAGCTTCTTTAGTCGACCATGACGAGGCCTGTTCGGAGTGGAACCTGTCCTGTTAAACCGCTGTATGATCTTGGCCACCGTGCTGCAGCTCAGTTTTAGGGTCTTAGCAATCTTCTTATAGCCTAGGCCATCTTTATGTAAAGTAACAATTCTTTTTTCAGATCCTCAGGGAGTTCTTTGCCATGAAGTGCCACGATGAACTTTCAGTGACCAGTGTGAGAGCGACAACACCAAATTTAACACACCTGCTCCCCATTCACACCTGAGACCTTGTAACACTAACGAGTCACATGACACCGGGGAGGGAAAATTAATAATTGGGCCCAATTTGGACATTTTCACTTAGGGGTGTACTCACTTTTGTAGCCAGCGGTTTACACATGAAAAGATATAATAAAATATTTACAAAAATGTGAGGAGTGTACTCACTTCTGTGAGATACTGTATAATATATATACACATATATATATATATATACACACACACACACACACACACACACACACACACACACACAGTTGTGTTCAAAGTAATAGCAGTCAGACATCACTAACCTGATCAATCACTGTTTTTGGTAGAAATGATATTTCTACATGGCAAATAATTTACTAACAGGTGTAGTAGAGTAATAGAAATCCAACAGACCCAACAGTCATGACATGCATGCTGCTGATTCTGTGTAATTGAATCACTAATTGAAATTATTGCCCTTATTTAAGGAAGGAAGGCAGCAAATGTTGTACATGCTGGTTACAGTGCATTTCTCTCTGAAATTCTGAGGAAAATGGGTCGTTCCAGATATTGTTCAGAAGAACAGCATACCTTGATTAAAAAGTTGATTGGAGAGGGGAAAACATATAAAGAAGTGCAGAAAATGATAGGCTGCTCAGCTAAAATGATCGCAAATGCTTTAAAATGGCAACCAAAACCTGAAAGACGTGGAAGAAAGCGAAAAACTACCATTCGAATGGATAGAATAGCCAAAATGGCAAGGACTCAGCCAACAATCAGCTCCAGGAAGATCAAAGGTCTAAAGTTACCTGTGAGTACTGTTACAATTAGAAGACTCCTATGTGAAGCCAAGCTATCTGCAAGAAGTCCCACTGTTGGAAAAAAGACATGTGCTGAAGAGGTTACAATTTGCCAAAGAGCACATTGACTGGCCTAAAGAGAAATGGCGCAACATTTTGTGGACTGATGAAAGTAAGATTGTTCTTTTTTTGGGTCTAGTGGCCGGAGACAGTTTGTCAGATGACCCCCAAACACTGAATTCAAGCCACAGTACACTGTGAAGACAGTGAAGCATGGTTGTGCAAGCATCATGATATGGGGATGTTTCTCATACTACGGTGTTGGGCCTATTTATCGCATACCAGGGATCATGGATCAGTTTGAATACATCAGAATACTTGAAGAGGTCATGCTGCCTTATGCTGAAGAGGAAATGCCCTTGAAATGGATGTTCCATCAAGACAACGACCCCAAACACACCAGTAAACATGCAACATCTTGGTTCCAGACCAACAAGATTGACGTTATGGAGTGGCCAGCCCAATCCCCGGATCTTAATCCAATAGAAAACTTGTGGGGTGACATCAAAAATGCAGTTTCTGAGGCAAAACCAAGAAATAGAGAAGAACTGTGGAATGTAGTCCAATCATCCTGGGCTGGAATACCTGTTCACAGGTGCCAGACGTTGGTTGACTCCATGCAACACAGATGTACAGCAGTTCTCAGAAACAGTGCTTATACAACTAAATATTAAGAGATTCAAAGGAAAGCAAAATCTTCAAACATTTTTCAGTTTATATAGTGCATGTTTGAGTTTGTAAAGAAGAATACAAACACTGCTATTTTTTTTGAACAGTCTAATATTCACTTTTCTTCAATTTTTTTTAGAGGAACAACACAAATTTGATATATTTTTCTTCATGTTTTGATTAGGAATAGAATGTGTAGTGTTCCCAATGCATTTGTGTGTATGGAAATAAAAGCTATTAGAAGGATTTTGAGCTTTATTCACTTTTTTCAACACACTGCTATTATTTTGAACACAACTGTATATATATATTTTTCACCACGTCGGTAACAACCCATGCAATCCATACATACAAAGAAACCAAAACAAATAAGTTCAGAAATTAGGTTGTTTGTAATAAAATGGAATGATACAGGGAAAAAGTATTGAACATGCTAACTGAAATTTTTGTACAAAATCCTCTCTTGGTAATGACAACTTCAAGACGCCTCCTGTATGGAGAAAGTAGTCACATGCATTGCTCAGGTGTGATTTTGGGCCCATTCTCCCACACAGTCTTCAGATCTTGAAGGTTCTGTGGGCCTCTTCTATGAACTCAGATCATTAGTGCTTTCCATAGATTTTCTTCTAGCATTCAAGTCATGCGATTGGCTGGCCATTCTAGCAGCTTTATTTTCCCCCTCTGAAACCAATTGAGAGTTTCCTTAGCTTTGTGTTTGGGATCCTTGTCTTGCTGAAATGTCCACCCTCGCTTCATCTTCATCACCCTGGTAGATGGCAGCAGAATTTTTTATCTTTATGTCTTAGTTACTTAGTACATTTTTTTTATTTATCCTTCCCTTCAATGATATGAAGTTTTCCAGTACCATATGCTGAAAAACAGCCCCAAACCATTTTGTTCCCACCTCCAAACTTCACTGTTGGTATGGTGTTTTTGAGGTGATGTGCAGTGCCATTTGACCTACAAACATGGTGTGTATTATGGCATCCAAAGAGTTCAAGTTCTTTCTCATCTGACCAGACTATATCCTCCCAGTATTTCACAGGCTTGTCTAAGGCCTTATGTACACTGCTGCTCCTACAACATGAGTTTAGGAGCTTTTGGCGTTGTTTGCCAAAGCCCCTGAACGCAACTCAGTAAAAGCCTAGGTGTCCAAGTACACATAGGCTTTTACCAGAGTTTAGGGGCAGCTAAACGTTCCTCTTCTGAACGCAGAATAATTGCGTTCAGGAGAGGAAATTTTTGGACGAAAACCATAAACCGCAGCAAAAACTCATTTAAACGCGGCTAAACGCTAACTGCGTTTAGCGATTGGGCGTTTACCCATGTCAATGGAGAATACTCTGGCCAACCAAACGAATAAACGCCCAAGCGCTAAACAAGGTTTTCCTGCTGCCAGGAGAGTTTAACGGCTAGGTGAGTTCCTGTGGCCTTAATGTTGTGCAGCAAACTTTAAACAAGCTTCAGCATGCTTCTTCTTCGGCGATGGAGTCTTGCTTGGTGAGCGTGCATGTAGACCATGGCGGTTGAGTGCATTACTTACTGTTTTATTTGACACAATTGTACCTGCTAATTCCAGATCTTTCTAAGATCTCAAGTGGTCCTTGCTCCTGGGCAACCTATTCTGATAATTCTTTTCACTCCTCTGTCAAAAATCTTGCGAGGAGCACCTGCTCATGGTCGGTTTTCAGTGAAATTATGTTCTACTTCCAGATTATGGCCCCAACAGTGACCACTGGAACATTTAGAATTTTAGAAATCCTGTAACCAATGCCATCAGTATGTTTTGCAACAATAAGGTTGCGAAGCTCTTGAGAGGTCTTGGCTTTTTGTGAGACACCTTGGTAATGAGACACTTTTTTATAGGCCATCAGTTGAGACTGAACTAGCTGATATTGATTTGCACTGACAAGGGGCTGGATTGCTTTCCAATGACTGATAGATATCAGCTGGTTTCTTGGCTTTCCATGCCTTTTTGCACCTCCCTTTCTTCAGGTGTTCAATACTTTTTCCCTGTGTTATTCCATTTTATTATACATAACCTAATTTCTGAACTTATTTGTTTTGGTTTCGTTGTATGTATGGATTGCAAGGGTTGTTACTGATATGTGGTGAAAACTTCACATCAAAGCATTTTTAGAAACATATTTACTGAGAAAAATGGTGACGTGTTCAATACTTATTTTACCTGCTGTATATATACACAATTTATTTTTATTTTTTTTAAACTCACAGGGACCCACTTACATTTACTAAACCAAAATAGTGCTCATTCACTGGAAACTGTTCCGGGCCAATCTCTTTCTCTAAAGCCGAGGCATTGGCGCCCTAGGAAAAAAAAAGAAAATATTCCTGATTATAGAAGCTGGACACTGCTTGTATGCACACAATGCAGATAAAGAAGCATGAAATATGTTGAAAAAATGCATGTTAACATTCCTCTGCCATTTCTGAACTATAAGTTCCAATAGCTGGCAGGATGCTGCTAAAGTACAGCTTAAGATCCCCAGATATTCACTGAATAACCCCTATCAAACCGCATCACTCATTTGCTTCTGTAGACACAGTTTGGGGATAACACACTTGAGCAGCATGTACACCAAACTAATCACTCGTTTATTCCTGGGCACAGGGAGAGGCCGATTGCAGCACAAGTGCTAAGGCATCATTTGATGGGCGTCCCGCTGTGACAGGAATGTGCTCAAGGGCTGAAAAAAGCTCTTGCTTTAAGAGTTTAAGAACGCTTTTCTGGCTTGAGACAAATTATGTCAGCACAGGAACGTGATGCGGCCACAAATCGGGATGCTGGTCTGGAAGATTCTTTTTGAACTCTCGTTGTGTGCTGCTGAGCTGTCTAGACATAGCCTACACTCACAGAGGCTCAAACTTGCACTAAAGATTCCGGCACTTCATGCTGGCGCCAAGATACAAAAAAAAAAATCAAGGTTATTCATAGAATGAAATTGTAGAAGCACATCGATAAAAACAGAACTGTTTCTAAAATATAACCAACTCTCTTCATTAAGGTTATCAGTGATGTTTGACCTATGTAAACATCTGTGCCTTCTTAGCTGGGATGACCTTTCCAAGGTGCCAGACGGTAGCTATACACACATGGGGTTGGCACACTACACCCTCCATATATATTTTGCCCTAAATTTATGAAGACATTTGATTTTTACATTTTTTTTATTGGATATGAGCAGGGCCCTCTGAATCCTCCTGTGTTAATTTGTATTGTAATTGTACTGTCTGCCCTTATATTGTAAACTGCTGGCGCTATATAGGTCCTGTATAATAATAATAAAAAATATAATTTTTTTTTTTTTTTTGAGAAATTGTCAGTTTTTTTTTTGTTTATAACGCAAACAGTAAAAACCACAGAGGTGATTGGGGGGGGAAAAAGGACATACATTTGATTTTGGTACAGTGTTACATGACCGCGCAATTGTCAATTTAAGTAATGCAGCGCCGTATCGCAAAAAAAGGCCTGGTCAGGAAGGGGGGGGTAAATCTTCCAGGGGGCAAGTGGTTAAAAACAAATTAGATACTACGTTGGGGCTAGCAGTCATTAAGCACTTGCTGAAAAATGTACATGTACACCCATTTTGCCTGCTCCAGTTCAGGGGTGTGCTGTCCAGTGGACACAGCAGAATGTGGGTCCCAGTTCTTGGGTCTCAAGATCAGTGTATTCTGACAGTGGGAATGTGCCCTTGCTGTCAGAATACAATAGCTCAGCACTTTCACACCCAGCAAATATAATGCCAATGGACTGCAGTGCTGATCAGTGAATTCTGATGGTGGGGGGAATACAATACAATACAAAGACACAGCGGGGAGAATTTCCCCATCTATCTTGAATGTGTGGATGGGGAAATTGGTTTAGTTTCTTTTTTTTTTCACATGGGTGGTTCAATGGAAAAAAACAAAAAACCTTAGACATGTATGGCCAGCTTTATACAATAAAGTCAAATTCAGGTACTCAAATTTAAAAAATACATTTAAATGATGTATCAGTGTTAGTTCCATTCCTTGGCTTCTTTTATATTGTATCTGCCCAGAGTTCAACTTTGTAAAAGAAAAAATTTGCTTCTATGATTCAAAAAAAAAAAAAAAAAATTAGAAAAGTTTCTTAGCAGTTCCAAAATATCAGCGCTTAGTGGAGTGCCAACAAACACACAAAATGTATCTAGCACTTTCTCTTCACAGAAACAGGACTTGATGTTTTTGTAACGTGGTACAAGCTGGAATAGGATTTTTCCACAGGGTTGTACTCTAGTTACCCGAGAGAGAGAGAGAGAGAGAGAGAGAGAGAGACGCAGCAGAGTGAAAAAGCGTTTATTAAAAAAGTGATACTAAAGGTTTGGGTTTTTTTTTGTTAAAATAACAAACATGTCCTACTTACCTGAAGGAGCCCCGATCCTCCTCTTCTGGGGTCTCTCGCTTGCACTCTAGACTCCTCCCCTCCAAGTGCCCCTAGAGAAAGCCGCTTGCTCTGGGGGCACTCAGGCATGCTTGCTCCCAAGCCTTGCTCTGTGTATCCATAAGACATACATAACAGAGCTTGGCCCCATTCCCCGCATCTCTGGCTCTGATTGACATCAGCGGGAGCCAATGGCTCCTGCTGCTGTATCTGAGCCAATGAGGAGCATGAGAGCCTCAGCTCTTGTGCACATCACTGGATCGAGATTGGGCTCAAGTATGTATTTAGGGGAAGCTGCTTGCAGAAGATTTTTAGGTTTTTTATCTTGCTGCATAAAAAGCAATAAGGTAAAAAACCTTTGCCTTCACAACCACTGTAAACTGATAAAATATTTTTCAGGTTACTAAGCTCTCATGACAGGGTAATGAGATCCCAGTGGAAATAAAATAATTACTAGCTGTCTGTTTACCACATGGCTCCAGCTGTACAAGATAAGCCATAGATATTTTCACAAAATATCTTTTTTCATCTTAGTATGTTTATTGGTTTTATGAAATTGATCAAAGTATTTTTTAAAAGATTTGCTATTAAGAGATATTTGAAGACCAAACTACTAACTGCTGAAACCCATTTAAAGGACATGAGAACAAAACAAACCAAAGCAAAATTAGCACCCACAATATTTGTAAATTTTTAACTTAAAAAAAAAAAAATGATTTTGCAAAAAATTAGTGATGGGTACCACACATTATAAAATCACATAACATTGAGATAGATGCATTGCAAAAGATTGGTCACGGTTGGTTGAATTTACTGTGTGGCTGGAAGCTTCTTCTATCGCAATACTGTCGATTTTAGTTAATCAGCCACTTCTTCTGCACTCTTCCTAAACAAATCACAGATAAACTGATATGTTCACCTTGAGTAACCTGTTTCTAAAGCAGCAGCAGCCGCACTCACTCTCCGATCTCCCACTGTGACAGTGGGCGGGGGATCCTCTCCTTGCACCCTCTGTCAAATTTTAAGAGCAGAGCAGCTGTGTGGGGCTCTGGATACACAGCCGCGTCATTCATTCACAGCAATCTGTGAATAATGAATTACAAGTCCAGTCTGCCACCACGGTAGATGACTTGTAGTTCTCAATGGACTGCTAGGGCGCTTATCAGCACCTTCGTAGTTCATTGACTCTCCATACAGCGAAAGTAACAGTCTCTGCCAGTATAGACAGGAATAGACAGTGATGTTCAATTCCTATTGCCAGACACATGCCGTTACGGGAGCCAAGCATGTCGTTTTTTTTTTTTTTTTTTACATGTAGTCTTGCTGCAGGTAAGCAGCAGGGTTTAAATCTGATGGTCAGCTCTCTTGCAAAAGCAATTCGAGTAGCTATCTAGCTGCTGGATCGCTTTTACAAGCAGTGGGAGGGGATGTCCCCCCTACCGCGGGCTGTCCCATTCCACTGGGACGCCTGATCAACCAGCCGGCACTTCTGCCAGTTGATCATAGAGGCAGACAAAGACCAGAACCGCTCTGTCTGCCTGTATGATATAGGAAACCAGAAGCGATAAGCATACAGCACTTCTGATTTGCCCGGCACAGTTTTAAAAAAATTATTATTATTATACAGGATTTATATAGCACCAACAGTTTGCGCAGCGCTTTACAATATAAGGGAGACAGTGCAATTACAATACATTTCAGTACAGAAGGAATAGGAGGGCCCTGCTTGTGGAGCTTACAATTTAAAGGAAGGGGGAGGTGATACAAAAGGGGATAGCTGCGGGGGATGATCTGGTGGAGGTGATTCAAGCACAGTTCTTAGGTGGAGGTGGTGTAGGCTTCCCTGAAGAAGTGAGTTTTCAAAGATAGCCTAAAGGCAGACAGGGTGGGGGATGACTGGACATGCTGTGGTAGGGAGTTCCAGAGGATGGGAGAGACTCTGGAGAAGTCCTGGAGGCGAGGGTGGGAGGAGGTGATGAGGGAGCTAGAGAGGAGGATATCATGGGAGGAGCGGAGTGGGCGATTTGGGCGGTATCTGTGGATGAGGTTGGTGATGTAGCTAGGGGCAGTGTTGTTTATGGCTTTGTATGTTGTGGTTAGTATTTTGAATCTTATACATTGGGTTAGTGGAAGCCAGTGAAGAGATTGGCAGAGAGGGGCAGCAGTCGCTGATCGGTTGGTAAGGTGTATGAGTCTAGCAGCAGCATTCATAATAGACTGAAGGGGGGATAGTCTGTGTAACGGTAGACCAGTGAGGAGGGAGTTGCAGTAATCAAGGCGGGATATAACCAAGGCGTGGATAGGTTGTTTTGTGGTGTCACTGGTCAGGAAGGGGCGGATTTTGGAAATGTTCCGCAGGTTGAGGCAGCAGGATTTAGCCAGTGAGTGGATGTGGGGCCCAAAGGACAGGTCAGAGTCTAGGATTACGCCTAGCACCCTGGCATGAGGGGAAGGACCTATGGTTGTGCTGTTGATCTTAATGGAAAAGTCATGAGTGGGTTAAAAATAGAAAACATTTGATCACACCGACCTTTAAAACCACTTTAACTATCACCCCAGTAGGCCCTTACTTACTGGAACCAACGGCCTCCTGTGTTGTCTACAGCCTGGCTGGTAAAACCTAGTTCCAGGTATCCCACACCAGCACACTAATATATCTCAGACTTGAATGGGACTTGCTCCTGCTTTACTGATATACCCTATTCAAGGAATGTTCGTCTGTAGGTACGGGTAGCTCAGCACTAGACTTTTAATGGCCTAAAACTGTTCATTAATGAACACATGCAGTTTTTACAAATGGCACATTGCTCTCAATTTTTAAGAGTGTGCATAAGTACAAATAAAACAAATGAAAATGTGTTTACTTAAATCAGAGGAGTGTACACGGATAATAAAAATAAAGGCAGGTAAACAACAGTTCTAATCAAACAAA